TTCAAAATTAAAGTATCAAGTTCAATATTCAATCCTTCAAAGATTTGTTTCTTTCAATGGACTAATTTCATAATGTGTATATCGTCCACAAAGTATGCAAAGATAAAACTTCTCGCGACAAAAAAATATGTATGAAATCTCTACAACAAATCAAAGTAAAATTACTATACAGTTGATATATTTAATGTATTTAATATTTTTTAAAATTGATTTATAAAAGAAAAAATTGTGAGTTATAAATAACATCACAAAAATATTTTTATTCAATAAAAAAGTCATCTTTTTCAATTTTCATCATGAATGCATAAAATTTAAAGTTAAAATTTTAATATAATGTTAAATACTGAATAATCCAAATAATATTAAAAAATTCTAATGTCACATGCTATTGGTGATTGATGTTACAGAAAAACTCAATAATCTTGAATGATTATGATATAATTAGCAAATAAAAATAATAATGTATCAATGGTAAAAATATACTATTAATAGTAAAAATTAATTATTAATTATCATCTTAAAGATATAAAAATTTATCTTTTGAATTTTAAAATAAAAATATAAAATATTTAAAAGCGTGTTTTTCAAAAAAAAAACTTCAATAAATGTATGGAATGTGGAAAAAAAATTTCATTGTATTTTAATAAAAATTATTAAATTGAAGTTTTTTATTTCTGAATTTATTTCTCAAAAATAAATATTTTTTTGGAACATTTTATTCATAAATATTGATTGGAAAATAATTATTAAAATAATTATATATTGCACAAGTTCAAAATAATACATATTTTTAAAATCTGAAATTATGTTTTACATACTACTTAAATAATATTCATGCGTAAAGATAACTTGGCATACATTTACATGCTTTTATGTTGATCAAAATCCTCAGCAAAATCACAAGAAATTTTTTTTTCCATATGTGACAGTATGCACATGGTACGTGGTTTCATCTTTTAACTTCATACACAAAAACATACAGGATGAATTATTTGTTGTGATGGAGAATCACAATCATCAATCCAAACCCTAAAATGATTGTCTTGGTATATTGAATCCACCGTCATTGACGCTCCGTCACGACACACTTTTCCAACTTGGATTACTCCTAACAATCTTTCTCTTGACGCATGTCAAATGAACAACAAACTTCTTAGATTATATAATTACTCTACATGAAGTCATGAAAGTAAAACTAACAAAAATCACTCTTCAAACTAGACCTAACTAAAACTAAATCGTAGCAAGAACTTGACAGAGTAAAAAAAAATAAAAGTAACTAAAAAGATATTAATCTTAACTTGTGTTACAGATACAAATCAAACATAGCAACATATTATTTTTAAAAAATCTCAAAATGAACAAATCTGATCAATGCATCAGCTGGATTGAATTTACTGTCAATGTTAATTATATCAATTTTCTTTTATCAAAAGTTTCATGTCTGATTAAAGTGATATCTGATGTCTATATGCTTCAATTTAATTTCATCACTTAATTTGCATCAAGATTCAATGCAATCTAGACATCACAATGAAGATTTATAATCCCGTGTTTCAATCCTATCTCAATGATAAGCTTATACAACCAAATAACTTTCTTTGCTTTTGTCGCTACATAATCAACTTCTCTTGTACGATGGGCTACACAATGTGCATTGCAAGATGGATCTTTAACTGATGTTGCCACCACCACCAAATGTAAACATATATCAAGTTATAGATCTACTCTAGTACATATTTTTTTGGTAATCATCATCAACATAACCTACAAGAATTTGACATGTTTACTAAACCATCAAACAATAAATTAAAAAGATTAGTACTCTTCAAATACCTAAAATTCCTTCACTGTTTACCATTGAGATGCAAAAAGTATGAAATCCATACAACTTTACAGTCTTTAATATTAAAATTATTAAAAACACTTTGAACATACATGTTTTGAGTGAATCATAATATATTCTTTATCAAATTACTATGAAATTCCATAAATAATATTTATCAAAATATTTCATCTTCAATAAAGACTTCAACTAATTTTTGCATCTATCAACGTCTATTGATTATTCGTCAAGATAAGCATTTCATACACGAAGAACACTAAAATAATAAGATTGAAAATTTAATAATTCAACTTCTTCATCTATACACAAGAATCATATACATTTCATTAAAAATCTTGTGCTTTCATGAATTCATCAAAATTCGCATTCTATTACCTAAGAGTTTGTTTCAAACATTTAAAGATTTCAGCAATCTCCAATCATATTTCTAACTTTTTTCCTGAAAGTCAATTGGTTATCTCATGTAGATTTACTCTCTTTGAAAATGTAGTGAAAAGTGATGTGATTACGCCAATTTGATACACCAGAAGACTAAATATTCCAGTCAATGCAAATACAAGAAGAATTATTAACTACTTTGTTTCAAATGATTTAGATTGTATATGAATATTGATTATATGCAATATTTACTCGTCTATATATATATAAATTGATCATTAAATTGCATGCAATATATATAAATAAATATTTAACAAAAATAATATAATCTCTTCAAATGATAAAAAATTTTAGCACATTCAATTGGAAAGATTTATTGTATGGGCTCATCACATGTTTACAGGAGATTTGGATGTTGATCTGCGTGTTTAATTTACCGCGGCTATCAAAGTTATAGTTGTGTATGATGGAATGAACATTTTTAACTAGATTGCAATCATGTGTATACAAGATACATACAATCAAATCATATACACGTATCAAATGTGATCATAAATGACACAAGCATATAAAATTTATTATGTTTTTAAAAAATTTAAAATTTTTATTCATTCTATAATTTTGAAAAAAATAATATTGGGACATGATATAGATTCTAATTTATAATCAAAAAAAAATATTTAAAATGTGTTTATGCCATGTGTATATAAGTCAAAATAAGTATCTGATAAATAGTAAAACTCAATATATTTAAAATGTGTTTATGTCATGTGTATGTAAGTCAAAATAAGTATTTGAATATATTTTAACAATATATTCAAAAAATAGTACATCTTCATAGATTTAAATTCATATTATTACACTTGAAATTTTTAAAAGATTTGAGTTTACTTAAAATAACTTTGATATATATTTTTATTTTATATATATATCACATTTGCACAAATTCAGTTTTAGCCAAATATTATTTGAATATAATGAATTTGAATGGAAATGAATATTTTATATATAATGAATGTTTTCAATTATATATATATATTATAAAAATATATATAATTTAATTTCAATTGGCTTTAAATTTTATTTTATTTCAACCTTATATCATTTACCTAAATTTGTTGAAAACAATGTTAACAATGAAATGAAGTGCAACTCAACATTTTAATGCATTGGAACAAAACATCCCGATTTCAACATAGAATACTATTCAAATTCTACAAATACTCTTATACCTTTGTGTATAGCTATGTATTCAATTTTGAAAACATAGCTATACATTTATTGACCGATGACTGGAGGTCAATTTTTTCAAAGATTGTTGTTGTTCAAAATATGCTTGAAGAACTTTATACTGGTTTTCAATTTGTGTTAAAAGTAAATAACATTCATAATTTTTAGTGTTGTGGAAGAGTTACATGATCTTCAATAATTTTTTCTGAAATTTTGTGTGCTTCATTCTTTTCTTACTGTTATATATAAAATATGCAGATAAAGTAAAATAAATTCCATGATAAAAAAATATTTTTTGTAGTTTTTTCATAATCACTGCAATTATTTTGCAATTGAAATTCTTCAGATATAAAACTTCAAAATTAATTTATATGTTAATAATTGAATTTTAAAATATTTCATTATATTAATTTCATTCAATTATTTACTGTATTTTGTTGAGTCGAAAGTATCAAAGGTACAATCTAGAATAAGTAAAAAGTAAGAATGTCCATAACACTCAAGAAGTAAAAAAATCGACAGGATTAATTGGTTTATTTTTTCATTACTGATATGCAAAATTTTTATTACGTGATTTTATTAACAATGATAGGAAATAAAAACATAAGCCTATATGTTGCTGTGAGTGGTGAGTCGCAGTATAAGTTCATAGAGTGGATCAATGATATATTGGATATTAGTATGAAATAAAGATATCAATGAAGCAATTTCTTGTATTTTGAAAGTTAAAAAATAGTCACTAGGGAAGTTGAAGTCTTTGGTGAAGTCCATAGACTGGAACAGTTATACGTGTACAGTGGCTGATTTTCCACATGAATTGAAATTTATCTACTTTCATACAGGAGAGATATGTTTTCAGATGAGCTCTACAAATGGAAGTTATTTGGAGAACCGATGCCTTACAGGATTGTTGAAATAACCAACAATCAAAGAATAAACCAAAAAGGATGAAACCAAAGAGCTACGGTGAGCCCGTTAGCATCATAAAGCGAAATGCATACTCCTGCATTTAAGATGTTATGTACATGAGACTGATTATTGGAAATCCAATATAAGAGCTTGCCGAGTGGTTTAAAAATCCTCGTTCCCGACTTTTGGCTAATGAGGTATTTGTGACTCTCCCTCTGTTTCATATTGAGAGAACAAATGAAAAATCTACTCATGCGCTGGCAAGGTGGGGAACGAACAATCATCCAGGACACGAATCTACACAACCCACACTTACACTAGATTTTTGTTTTTAATTTTTTTTAACTTTTCAAAGGAATATATAGATGTATGGAACCTACGGCGGGTTCCCTTGAAATATTTTCTTGTGGGCTGTGATGATTCCTGGATGTTTCATATGTATATGTATATATATATTTGCAAGATAACAAAGAACATTGGCTTGCGTGGTAATGTACGAACACACGAAAAGAGCAGCCAAGAATGGTGATGCTATCCTGCCGATGAATTATATCAGCTACGTACTGCCTCGCGAGCATGGAGATTTGAACGAATATTTGCCGTGCTGCTCTGAGAACAAAAGTTAAAAGGGAGATGGGATAATTAGCGAGGCCCAAGACGGGCGAAAATGCAACTCGAAGCTCGGAAGACGCAGCGGCAATCTCGCTCTTCTGCTTCTTCTGACGTCCTGAAGTAGGTCAAGAACGAGGAAGGGCTGACGAACGAAGTGAATCGCAACAGCAGCAGCTGCTTAGAGCGACACGGAGGAAAATCCCAGCACGGCCTCGTTGATTTCGCGTCAGGTCGCTCGAACTTTCGGTCGCTGTGTCCCTCGTTCGGCGGCAAATTACAAACTCGCGGAGTCGCGAGCTCCACATGCGATCGCATATTCGGAGGGAGGTCGTCCTCCTCGGTGAAAGAAGGGACCACTTTCGTGAATCTGTTTAATGTCGAATTGGCTGGTACGCAGTCCCTAGGACCGACAATTTGCAGTGAGGGAATTACGATCTCTCGATTGCCAAGGAAAGAGCCGGCATGGGCGATGCAATGAGGGGAGCGCACTTTCGGTTGTCGCCAGCTCAAAAACAGCGCATGTTAGTAGCGCAAGAGCGCTGTCGAGATGCAGCGGGAAGTGTCCATTCTTCTGCTTTTGTCAACGTTGGGGACACGATACCCGTGGACTACGAGAATGGATATTTGAGGTATGCTCTGTCATGGGTTTGCAGATGCAATCGGTGCTTGTAAGTCTGGTTAGTGACGTCCCTTGACACCAATGATTGCCTAATTCTCGTCAGTTATTATTATACGCAGGGGCCATGGAACCCAGGTAGTCGATGGACAGCTCCTTGCCACTGTTTGCGGAGTTGTGGAACGAGTGAATAAACTTGTTTCCGTCCGACCCCTTCGAGCCAGGTTCCCGCCCTCATCCAACACCTTATTGGTTGTTATCAGATTTTGGCTGCCAAAGGTTTTGTGGTTTACGTGCTAAAATGAGAGTTCATAGACTAAAACTTCAGCCAGTTCGCTTGACATTCTTCTCATGGTAACGTCGGTGCAGGTTTTAAGCAGAGGGCGTAGAGTCGTGTATGCACGCATGGAAAGTGGTGTAGAATGTGAAGTGGTGTGGACGTTAAAATTGAGTAGTGTAATTTGTGCAGATACAACCCAGAGACTGGTGATGTGGTTGTAGGTCGTGTAACCGAGGTACGTGAAATCCATCCTAGTTATGACAAGAATTTTCATAAGAAGAGAAGAAATTGTCTAGTAGGAGCCGTTCATCATAATTTAATCATAATATATGTGTGGAGCCTTTGGGCTCTATTTTATGATATGCTGGAAAAGTAGAAAAAGGGGATGCGATCAACCACGACCGTCGTTTGATCCTAAAATCATCTGTTTTTGCGTAAGTTGTGGATCGTGGTGATTTGTCACATTAAACTTGGCAGATGTTTCACGGGGAAAGGTCACCTAAAAGGAAACATGTTTTGGTCTTTCTTTATATCAAACTAAGCACGAAAATCATAGGCCGGCTTTTTACAAAATCATAATCTGCTTAAATTTCGAATCCGCCTCTCAGTCTCCTTACACTGAAAGCATGGAAGACTTCTTCATAATTATTTGCCTCTGATTTGTAACATCTTACTCTGTGCCTAGTCTGAATATCACGGCCAAACTAGCAGTGATGATGCTTTGTAGACTCATCTTCACTGCTTCATCCCTTCAGATGAACCGCTTCATAGCCACTGTAATCTTCGAGTTGTGAGTTTCCTGCAGTCTATATCTTCTTCTATGTCCAACTCATGCATATCCGAGGGTTTTATTTTCTACTTTAGTGATGTTCAAAAGGGCAGAGTTTCGCACCAACACATTCTCTTGTCACCTATGACTGGATCTGGTAAAGAAGTAAATGATTCTGCTGTTCTTGAACTGCTGCTTGATTTCGAGTTCAATTCTCAGGTGTCTGAAGTATGGGTGTCTTGTGTACAAGCTGTTTTTCAAGTGGGGAAAATTCTAGTCGTGTCTTTGACAGCTTCTGTAACCTACCTGTCCTGGCACTCGACTGACAGTCAAGGATACTTTTTCTTACACTGATTGCAAAATAATTTGTGGCTTAACATAATTGGAGGTCATGTGAACTCCTGAGCTTGACTTGACATATTGTAGATTTCTTCCTTACATTAGGGGGCACACACCTGGGTACAAACCAAGTCTGGCCAGAGTAGCGTAGGGGTAGACATGCCGGCTGAAAAGTTTTGTTCGCGCAGAAAGTTGTGAATTGACCTATCTAGTTCTACGGTTACTGCATCGTAGTTGAGATCGGGCTCCTCCTGCTTAGAGTTTTGACGTGTCAACGTTTTCATGGAAAAGCCCATTTTCTTTACGAATGAGAAATAGTTCACTTTCTTGCCTCAAAACCCTTAACCCTTGTCGGAGACCACGTTGTGGACAACCTCAAATTTGTTGATGTTTCCCATAAAATTTCTCTGTACCTACTTTAGGCACAAAAGTGTTTCTTGATGTTTGGTTGCAACTCGTGGGAAATTGAAGTATCATATTCCAATCATATCCACAGCGTCCCTGTCAAGACCTGAACGCTGTAGGAGATTTTTGAAAAGGATCTTGGTGGCGTTTTCAGGTTGCACCAAAACGATGGAAGGTGGATGTCAATTCCAGGCAAGATGCTCAGCTGATGCTGTCCGCTGTTAATCTACCAGGTGGTATCCAGGTAGGTGGTGTCCCCATGGCTTTTTACCTCCTTAGGTGACCTCAATCGCTCGCTGTGATTTTGAAGTCAAAAGAACTTTCTAGATTGCTTCACTTGGCCTTCCGAGCGGCTTTTTGCTTCATTTTCTCCGAATGTATTTGACGGAGGTAAACGTAAACTCCTCTGATATGGGGTTACAAGCTGTATTTTGCAGAGGCGCAGGACGGCCACAGATGAACTCAACATGAGGGACCTCTTTACCGAAAACGATCTTATAAGTGTACGTTTTTCTGGGCCAATCCCCCCACTCTCGATATCCCGTAGTATGTCCAGTAGAAACCTTTTTACTGCATCAGTAGGTCCGCTTCTTGCTCCTCTACGTCATTATTATTTTTCCTGATGAACCTGCACGGCGTTCATCACACTTTCCTTTAATGTCTGCGGTATTGCACTGGCTTCCCTTTCAGCTGCAAATCAGATTCTAAAGTCGCTAATATTGGCGCGGTGGTAGCCGAATTGAAGCCTAGCAATGATCACACGTTATTAATATTTTCCTCTGATTGTATGATTTGCAAAATTTTGTATATGTAATTTTCAATGCAAACTTGAGAACATTGTAAGCGCACTTTGGCACATGCAAAAGTGTGTCTTAGATCTAGTGCGGCGTGTTCGTTATTTAAGGCTAGAATCGCTCAAATTTTTATGTTACGCTTGATGCACTTGCATGTTCGTATTAGTGGAGGATAGGAGGTGAATAATGAAGGTTCGCTTTTATGTCCTGTGACTATCTCAGGCTGAAGTACAGACCCTTCATCAAGATGGATCACTTCATCTTCACACTCGCAGCTTAAAATACGGGAAGGTACTGTCCTGTCCAGCGCTTGATGCTTAAGAGCACGTAGATATTCCTTGCTCACGGCAGGTGCTTACATAGATATCTGGCGATCATTAGTCTCCTATCAGGGAGCTTTCTTCAGATTTAGCAAGATTACTTGTATTCTTCAAGCAATTTGCCAAGGATGTTACACGTGGAACCTGGTTGATCGTAACAACACCTCATGTGATCTCCACTTACACAGCTTGGAAAAAAATATTTGGAGGGCCCTGGACTCCTGTAGTCTTTCTAGGATCTCAGATCTTGGACAGTCGCCTAAGCATGTTATGGCCTGACATTCTCTCTTTTGACAAGCGTAGTGAACTAATGTCTTGTTTGTTGCTCCTGCAGCTTGAGAGTGGACAGCTCGTGAAAGTAGCGCCGTATTTGATCAAACGTCTAAAGCAGCACTTTCATCAGCTGAAGCAGTATGGAGTACAAATGATTTTAGGCTGTAATGGTTATGTTTGGATATCAGCACTTCCTCAATCTACCCCCGATATTGCAACAGATCAGAAACGTGCTAATACTGAATCACTTGAAGCGGCCGCGGGGACAGCTGACAGTCAAAACGTTGAAATATCCCGAGAGTTGAGGGAGAGAATCTGCAGGCTTGCTAACGTAGTTCGAGTATTGGGAGCATGTGGTTTTCTTATACATCCTGATTCCATAGTGGATACTTACGAAGCGAGTTTGAGTTGGGGTACAGAACTCAAACACATGTTCTCTGGAGAGTTCTTTGTGAAGGTAGTTGAAAGAGAAGCAGAACAGAGGTCTAAGAAAGGGTAAGCTTCATACTGAGCATCAAATATACACACACAATTTTGCCAGCAGAGGAGAGAAGTAGAAAGAGTAGCAAGAATTTAGCTTAGAGAGGTGACTGATTGCACGTAATGTGTAAGTCACACAGAAGAGTCATGAAGCCGAGGCGTTGTGAAGGAGAAGGGGACTTCTCACATCTAGGTACGTTGAAGTCGGTGATGGATACACACAGCGGGACGTACGTGCTAATTTCGATCCAATCATCTTCGCAGATGATGGTTCGCATCCCATTCTATGTGAACCTAATGCGACCTCATATATTACGGCCGAAAAAATCTCGCACGAATCTGAAACGAGTTGCGAAATCTATTTGCCGAGTTTTTTGTTGCGCACGAAGCGGTTGGAGAAGATGCCTAAATTCTTCATCATCACTTTGGGCCTCCATTGAAGCAATATATTTAAAGGATATGTGTGGCTGGCTGGAGGGCCGCGTAGCATCTGACTGTGCAGACGGGGTAGATGACAGGTGGATTTTCGCTGCTGCCGACCGTCAGCTATTTCCTTTGTTTGCTCCGGCAGCGCCATGAAAGCGCTAATTAGCGCCATGACTCATGTGCTGGGCACGAACCTTGGCGTTGCTCAACCGGTAATCGTGAAGCCATAGAGATACCTCCAGTAGTCGGCTTTGCATGAAAGAGTACATAGCCTGTTTTTGAGGTCGCTATTGTTAACAATGCTGAGCGGCACGTTTTCAGTTGCTTATCTGTTTCGTACAGTGAGTTAAGGTAAGGGCAAGGGAACTTCGGAACTTAGATAGTGTAAACATCCGGGAAGGGAATGGTGGATAGGAGCTTCATTGAAGCTACCTAAGAATAGCAAGCTTAGTATGTTCCAAATTCAAAAGCCACTGTTGTTGGCAGTACTAGGTGTTTCAACTAACTGTCCAGGTCCTTGGAACTGGTTTTTAGATTGAATCTCAAAAGCGCACGGTGACGATAAACGGTCTGTATATTGACATGTCTGCGTCTTCTGGGAGCTGGAGTTGGTGTTTAGTAGGCCTGGAAGTGCGTGATCTCCCTGTTTTAAGTTGCGACTACATGTCGGCGCCTAGAACAAATTCACTTCATGCCCAAAGACAACAGCACACAGCCAACCGACAAGCTGAACGCTCGTCTCTTGTTATCCACATTTCACGTCCTACCTATTGAAAAAACCTCCCGTTTCATCAAAGTCACTGAGTCCATCACTCATTCACGGTTTGCTTCTGCAATGGATTTGCACAGCTAACCTTTCCGTTGGAGACTTCAGCAAGAGTCAAGTTGCTAATGTATTGCAGTCAATCCCATGTCAACATATGTTCATGCATAGCACGTTCCTACTTGATTCCGTAAGTTCATTGACGGCAACTTTTCGGATAAATGGAAAACTCTTTTTAAAAGATAAGAGCTCAAAAGTTCCTGGCTTCGCAATGAAACTGCTTCAACAGCGGCGTAATCTACTTTCTTTTGAATGTCCGAACCTCGCACTGTTCTCTATTATAGGTAATTGTTGCTCCATACCTTGGACACTGGGCTTTTAAAATCGAAATGATGAAGCATGCTTCTGCGTCACGAGAAATGCAACCTTCTCAGAAAAAGCTCTGCGCAAATCACTTGTTCAAAGCACTCACAGTGCAGAGTTGATGCCGTGAGGAGCGAAAGAGCAGGGCCAGCGAGCCGGATCTGGACACTCATTTTGGAAAGTTTTCCAGGGTTTTCGGGGATGACTTATCGTAAATTTAATAATATCAGTGTCCGAGATATTTGTTGTGGCGACTCTGAGATCCGGTATTCGTGGAGGGCGGTCTCGAGAACTCACACTCGTCTACCACAATTGCAGGTTCACAGCAAGAAGTTGTGTGACGCGTATTCGAAACCGAATCAGCTTTTTATAAGTATGCGTTACCACGAAAGGTGAACGCAAAATCGGAGTCTGAAGATCGATCAGGGTCACGTCGAACCAGAAGTCAGCTTACATTCTCCAATCAGCTTCTGAGTTAATCTTTTTAATGGTTCGAACCACGCGCAGGTGCCGCCCCTCCTCACCTACACTTCTGCCACATAAGCATTTGTGTGTGATTATAGTCCTCGGGGCTGTTCCCAGTTGTACTGCACATCACTCAAATCCTAACCACGGTCAAGTCGGCATTACTGCAGATACTTCAGCCTGCCTAAGAAACGACGGAAAATTAGTCCTAGAGCTTAAGGTATACAAATGACGACTCTGGACGAATGAACGTACAGTTTCTGGGTTTCGTTTTGTTCCAAAATATAAGCTTTACAGTAGTGACCTGGTACTTGATAGCAGTTTTGGGAGTTATGATATTCTTTTATCCAGCATACCATTATTTTTATCAAATACGTGAACAGTCCACACTTTGTAACGGGTGGTGATGTGTGTTGCGATCCGTTACTTGAGGAAATGTTATACTATCTTATGATGCCTAAGTATTAAAGGATTTTTGAATCTTTCATTTGATACTTTCTAAAAATAAAATATGATTTGAATATTTTTTTAAAGTTAGATGTCCATATGTATGGCAGTACTTTTCATTTCAGTGCATCACACACATACCCACAAAAGTTGATATATCTCATCAAGAGACGTGGAGAAGATGGATTACAAGAGATGTGAGGGTATCCAATTTTGTTGAATTATTTTAGTGTTTGTGTGATAAAAATGTTTTTAATCCAAAGGAGTTGAATAGGTAGCCCTCCAATGTATCATTGTGAGGATGTATAATGTAAAGTGAAATACTCTTAGCTTTGGTTTACAATTTGAACACCATTACATATGAAAGTTATAGATCATTGCTTGTCTTCAATATCAAATGAATTGAAATAATAAGTGTATCAAGTTATGTGTTACAAAGGATAGAAATACCTGTCAAGTTTTCTGCGGATAAACTTAAAGTACATTATAACTTCCTACTTAAAAATATGTCTAATTGCAACTAAGTATACATGAACTCTTAACATAACAATCTACATATTACATGAGTATACAAAGAAATATAAATCTATCAAAAACATATTATCATTGCTCTTCCACAATTAGCATATTTATTATTGTTAGTTTAACTCTATCTTGGATTAACTCTAGTTAGTAGTAACCATGGTAGGAAGTTAGTTGTGATTACGTAGGTTAGGTTAGATTTGAAAGGGCAAAACATCTAGATCGATCAGCACGCACGATAGTCACAACACCGAGATAACGTGGTTCATTTTTCACAAGTTACGTCCACGGGCAAGAGCAAAACTTCACTAAAGCACATATGATTACACAGCCTTCATAGCCAAGCGCTACTCCAACCTGTTCACTTTTCAGATGCTATCCTAAATTGTACGCAGAGAGAGTCACATTCTTTGTTCTATACTAGAAGAGATAAGGTGCACATAATATCTAACCTAACCTAACCACAGTTAACTTTATAATAATGGTTACCACTAACTTGAGTTAATCCAAGATATAGTTAACCTAACAAGATTATCTTATCTCTTCTTGTATAGAAGACAGAAGGAGAATCTCTTCAGTTTAGGATAGCACTGAGAGAGTGAATAGTAAAGAGTAGCGCTTGGCTATAGAGGTCGTGTATACATGGAAGTTTTAGTGAAGTTTCTGATCTTGCCCATGGACGTAGCTTGTGGAAGGTGAACTGTTAAGATAACTCTTAGGTCTCGCCTAACTCTAGTTTGCTTAACCTTAGTTAGGGAGTAGCTTATGTTAGAGTTGCTTGTTATATAGGTGAGCTTGTGTGAGCTCACTATGTGAGAGATAAAACACTCGTTGTGTAGGAGTGCTTTTGTGAGAACGGTGAGAGCTTGGTGAGCGGAGACTCGGTACGGCTATGGCTTAGAGTCTTAGTACAGTGCTCATTGTTTTCGTGGACGTAGCCTCAGCGTAGGTGAATCACGATATCTCTTGGTGTTGACTTCTCTTGAGCATGTATGTCTCACTGTGTATGTAGTCTTTGTCAAACATGAACCACGTTATCTCGATGTTGTGACTATCGTGCGTGTTGATCGATCTGGATGTTGGGTCTTTCAATTGGTATCAGAGCTCGTTCAATGCATGCGAATTTCTGATTTCCACAGTATTGGAGAGCAGGGAGGCGCGGAAGCGCTATCGGAAATTCTACTCGCAATTTGAAGCAATAGTTGGACTAAGCTTGATCCCAAGGCTACCAAGTGTATTTTTCTTGGTTATCAGTGTGATGTCAAAGGATATAAGCTTTGAGATACTGTAGGCTGTAAACTTGTTGTTAGTATAGATGTTTCTCTCAATGAGTCCAAATCATCGAAAGAGAGAAGATTGTTGATCCTAGTACTAACGTAGGTCATTTAGTTTCCCCAAACATTATTGAGGGGGAGATTTATCATGAAATTTCTCATGATGGGCCACAAGTAGGTGCTCACAAATGACGGACGAGGCAGAAGAGCAAGATTTTGTTCTTGAAGAGGTCTATGAGAAGCAACACATTGCTAGTGAGCCATCATCTAAACCAGCACACAATGATCAACTAGAGTTTTCAACTGCAAGATCAACATGTGTTCGCCGTGCGCCCGAAAGTTATGGTACCTGGTTTCATACAGAACATGCTGTTAGAAACGAGTATCTACTTGTTGATAACTTAAGAGAAGCGTAGATCACGGAGTATGGAAGTTTGTCCTCTTATTGAACTTATAGCCCCATAATCTCCATAAAAAAAAATTTCCAAAAGGAACTCACTGAATCTCAATTAGTATTGGAGAAGCTTGATTGAGATGTAGTAATGCGAAAGGAGATGAAATCACTTCATGACAACCAAACTTGGGAACTTGTGGATTTGACCAATGGAAAACGAGCTATAGATTGCAAGTGGGTCTACACTGTAAAGGATGAATCCACTGAAGCAGCTGAGAAAATCTTCAAGGCAAGATTGGTGGCCAAGGTCTTTGGAAAGCGGAAGTACATCGACTACACTGAGGTTTTTTCACTAGTTGCTAAGTTTTCAACTATATGCTTGGTGTGTGCACTTGTCACATTATTTAATTTATTCCTTGACCAGATAGATGTTGTTACAGCCTTTTTACATGGAGCGTTGGACGAAGTGATTTACATGAAACAACCAGAGGGTTTTTTGAAGAGATGAAAGAAACGTTTGGTTTTTTGGTTGCTTAAATTCTTGTATGGACTTAAGCAAAATTCCCGACAATGGAACAAACGTTTTGATGAGTTCATGCATACGCAGGGCTTCATACAAAGTGCATATGACCCTTATTTGTACATGAAGCGTGTTAGCAACACATCTTTTGGCTTGATATTACTCGTGCTGTATGTAGATGATATGCTTATTGCCGCTAAGGATAGGTCTGAGATTATTAAACTCAATGTCCAGCTCAGTTCTGAGTTTAATATGAAAAACTTAGATCCTGCTAAGCATATACTAGGCATGGAGATTCACAAGGACGAGTCATCAAGCAAACTTTGGTTGACATAGACACGGTATGTAGAGAAAGTACTTGCTAGAATTAACATGTCAAATGCTAAAGCTGTAAGTACTCATTAGCTGCACACTTTAAGCTTTCGGCACCCTTATGTCCAATTGATGCAACTGCTAAAGGATTGATGTCTTCTATTCCTTATGAAAGTGCAGTTGGCAACATTATGTATCTTATGATACACACTAGACCTGATATAGCATATGCAGATGGGAAAGTGAGTAGGTACATGTCAAATCCTGGACGAGAGCATTGGGAAGCTGCAAAGCGGATTATGAGGTATATCAAGAGTTCTCTTGATACTGGATTCTGTTATGATGCACGATCAAACAATGCAAGTTCGCTCATTGGGTATGATGATTCTGATTATGGAGTAGATTTGAATAGGCGGAGATCAACAACTGGGTATGTTTTCACTCTTGCTGGTGGATGCATAAGTTTGAAATCTACACTTCAAAAATGCATTTCTCAATCGTCCACAGAAGCTGAATACGTTGCAGCAGCGGAAGCAGCGAAGCAGATAATTTGGTTGAACAAGTTGGCCACTGAGATGGGGCTGCCACACAATGATGTGAATTTTTACTATGAGAGCCAGAATGAACTTCATCTAACATCGAACAATGTGATGGGCGGTAGGAAAAAGCACATTGATATTCGATATCATTATATCAGACAAGCATTGTGTGATAGTGCACTT